ACCTAATTAAAAAGCAAACAAGTTCGTGTGAAACAGAGAGCATGGCAGAAGGGAAGGCAAGGACCATTAGCCATAAAGTGAATTTTGCAGGCTTCTGCAAGGAATGGAGATGATGGGCTACATACCCATCGCCCTCTGGTTAGAACAAAATGAAGATTCTTCTCCAGCGTATACTGGACCTTTAGACATGAAGACTCATCCCCTGCCTGGTACTGGCCTACATCATGAAGCTCTAGAACACAATAAATGTTCTTGGTCATGGAGGTCACCAAGAACACAGAAGAAGAAACAGATACAGGAATTTGAGCTGATGGGGTAAAAATACACAAGGAAGACTTGTACCATTGGAACTCCGTGTTCTAGCCAGGGCCAAAAGGCCATGTTTCATAGTCATTTACTTACTGTATGGTAGTAGGAATAACCAACCTATGAGTTTGTTTCAATCAGTTACCTACTGTGTGATAAAGAGGAATATTCCATGATTCTTAACCCTGAAGTACAAGCTTACATTAAAATAAACAAGCATCATAAACCAGCAATAAAATGGTACTTACATTCATCCACATGCCCTCCAGTTCTTGTCCGTACATCCATATCACCTTGTAGTTATAACCACGATACGTGAGTGTGTGCATGCACACATACATACATACAAACATACATACATACACACACAATTTGCAGCCTGTACCATAGCAAGCTTTTGTTATATTCTTTCGTATTAATAAGCAAACATCAAAACCTAAATTTTTAAGAAATTTATAGCATTCCACTACAGATCCACCAAAATTTACTTAACCAGAAGTTTTTGTTGAGCCTTAGGCCTGCAATCCCAGCTACTTGAGAATAAGGCAGGAGGATCGCAAGTTCAAGGCCTGCCTGGGCTACAGAGTGAGTGCCAAGACCAGTGTGAGCAATTTGTTGAGACTGTCTCAAAATAAAGCAAAAAGAAGGCTGTAGAGTGCTTGCCTAGCATGCACAGAGCCACAGGTTCAATGACTAATGTTGAAAAAGAATGTACCTGTTGAATAAATGAGCCACCTTTCTAATGCTGGACAATTAAATTTGTTCTAATTATTTATTCTTACAAGTAACACTGTGATGGATACCTAAACATGGGTCATTTTTCTCCTGTTCTAGGGATAATCTACTTAGAACACCCTTCCTCAAACAGGATTACAAGATTCAAAGCTACTAATATTTGACTCCTGCCACTTACAAGTTAGTTTGTGTCACTTCTTTCTCTTGTTTTAAGGGTGGGCCTGAGCTTGGTTAGCATTTCAATTGTTTGTCTTTACATTTCACTAAGGCTAGATGGGTTTTCATGCATCTACTCACGTTGTGATATAATGTGAATGAATGGCTTTAGCCATCTACCTCCTGACGAGTTCGGTCAGCCAGTAGTTCTGGAACATGCACCTCATGCCAGGCCTATGAAGACCTCACTACCTGCACGACTTCTGTACGTAATATTGAAATTATCTTTTCCTATGTGCAGCCAATTTTCTGGGCATGATTTCATTTTGTTAAAATTATACCGTTTCACAGTAGAGACGGAGGTATATGAATCTGCTGGTCTATCTTCTTTCTGACTTTTCTACCTCATTACAGCTTACATGGTAATTTCACACCTACAGACTTGATAATTAGCCTATTTCCTGTGGTCTTTGTTCAAAGTATTCCAAAAGTCACATAAATATGTTCTCAGATAATTAAAGTTCCTATCCACAATTCATAATTCTTCTGCTCTAACGTAAGTAATATTTTTACTAGAAGCATGTGATTTAGAATAAAAACTTACACAAGTTTTCTTTATCCTCTACATGTGATATGTTGTATTGAAACTAGTTGTGTTTTTAAATTACCTTGCTGCAATCAGAAGGGACCTCGGGTGTAGCTGAGAAAGACTGACCCGAGGCCTGCCTTTGTAAGAGGATACTGCTCGCCCTCTCTTGAGCCAAAGGAACAACAATGGATCTGCATGAGGCTTTTCATCTCTGGGTCGCTTTAGAGTAAAACCCTTTTGTGACTGAGAGCAGTGGAGGCTCGGACAAGCAGCAGTGTGACAAGCAGCAGTGTGACAAGCAGCAGTGTGACAAGCAGCAGTGTGACAAGCAGCAGTGTGACAAGCAGCAGTGTGACAAGCAGGATCTCCAGTCCTATGTCACAATGTGCACTTTCAAGTTTGAGAAGCCCTGAGAGAGACCACAGGAATCTTCCAGAATAAGATTTAAAAAAAAAAACAACAAAAGTACTCATGTGTTTTGATGCTCCTCTTCATCAGGTACCACCAGATTAGAGTTCACCTGCCACCCGTTTAAAGCACCTCCTTAAAATGAACATGGATGGCTCAGGCCAGAATAATAAGCCAAATGATTTGCAAGAAAGGACAGTCGAAACTTTGCACCCACAATGTTATCTTCAAGTGAAGTTGAAAAGCCAAGTGCCTATGTGAGCAAGGTGTTCTAGTGTGCCAACAGGCCCCCACCATTTGTGTCCCGAAGACTGTAGAGAGAGCTGAAGGCTGTGGCAAGTCTCGCAGCCTGTGCTCTCCCCAAAGGAACAGCAGCAATTTGGCTGCAGCCTATTGTAGCCAAATGGGAACATACGCTTGGCGGTGCCAAAACTTCTGCTATTTCAAGAGACGGCAATGTGGATGTTTAAGAGTGTGAAAGCTCTCGATTTTTCAAGGCTGGCAACGCACATGCATTTTCAAAGAACACCTCTCTGTGCCAGATCCAGCCTACCAGTGTGAGGCTAGGGCTCTAGATGGAAGAGTTCGCAATGCTTTAAGCCTGTGGAGTCCATCTGTGCTGATTTGTACGCAGACTATGTGGGCTCCAAGAAGAGAAATCACATCAAAATCAATGGCACACATCAAATCACTATGACGACTGTCTTCGAAATTTTTGTTTGGTGAATATTTTAAAAAAACCTGCCAGATCAATAATGAAAATAACCATATGGCAGTTATACAAATATTTCCTAAATGTGAAATGTATCCAATTCATTAACAATATCATTTCCACAGTACGAATTAAAGTACTTTATTTAGCCCAGCTCATGTGTCTGCTACAAGTACGTTGTGAGGGTTAGAGAAATGGCTGGGTGGCTAAGCTGCTTTTCTAAAGGACCCAAGTTTGATTAGCACTCACAAGGGACTGCAAATCAAGTTATAGGGAATCCAGCAACCTCTTCTGGTCTCCTCAGGGACTGCACAGACATATATGCAGGTCAAACACCCAAAGCACAAAATTTTTGTCTTTAGAATTTTTCATAAAAGAATTATGTTGTGTTCAACTATATTCCAAATAATTCTGTAAACTGAAGGCAGCCAGAGTAATGTCAAGCCCTAGAATTGCAAATTTTGTGGAAGATAAATGCTGTATAAATCTTAAAAAGGGACATATCATTTTAAAATTTAACCATCCTCTTATGGAACTTGAAAACTCCATTTTCCTGAATGATTTAACTTTCTCCCCACCAAAAAAAATGTTAAAAAAAATAGGGTGTAAAATGCAGAGTTTCCATTGGGCCCTAGACACAGCTGTATCTGCAGCAAGTATCACCCACTTTTTTGCTTATACCTGTTTCCTATGGAGGTAGCAGAAATTCCAGGCATTTTCAGTCTTCTTACGGTAAAGGAAAAATAATCTAGGTATGCCCTACACCTGAAGAATATTGCCTCTAAAATGCTTGACTTCTGTATAACACTCCTGCCTTGGCACACAGTGGAGCTCAGCAGATCAAAGGAAGAACAAGATTCAGCAGTATAACCCTGCGTGTTTCCGTAATGTTCAGAAAGAATATGGGAAAAAGGGACTTTAGCAGGTTTACCTATGTAGAGAAGGCGCCAGCACAGTGACCTTTTCATGTAGAAAACTGGAAATCTCAACAAGTACAGGGCTTGCAAATACCATGTCTCTCCTATAAATACAGAGACTGGGGGACAAGAGGAAGCACTCATTTTTGCCTTGTACCTGGCGTAGATCTCTCTCAGATGTCCCTCCAATTATTTTCAAAGATGAATGTCCCTTCTCTCAAGGGAAGAAATAAGGAAGCCTGAATTGCCACAGAGCATAAATCAGCAACCGGCTAAAGGAAGCAGAGGATATCTCGCCAATGTATGCCAACAGTAAAAAGTCCAGGCCGTGTGGCTACATGCACCACGTTCATGGTGCATGGCTGTTTCTGAACTTGAGGGCAAACTAGAAAACGCATGTTGGCTCACGTTATGGAGACCCAGCAGAAACACTCTACGGTGGTGTTAGCACCGGGTTCTTTTTTTTTTTTTTTTATTGAGAAAAGGAGAAAAAAAAACAAGTTTCCACCTCCTCCTAGCCTCCCATTTCCCTCCCCCTCCTCCCCCCCTCCGCCCCCTCCTCCCACCCTTCTCCCCCTCCCCCCACTCCTTTCCCCCTCCCTCTCCAGTCCAAAGAGCAGTCAGGGTTTTCTGCCCTGTGGTAAGACCTAGGACCTCCCACCTCCGTCCATATCTAGGAAGGTGAACATCCAAACTGGCTGGGCTCCCACAAAGCCATCACATTACGTAGGATCAAACCCCCGTAGCACCGGGTTCTTATAGTGACTTGCCTCCTTCCACCCAGGACAGAAAGCTTCCTGGGCCTGAAGCACTCGGCTGGCACAAAGCACCAGGTTTCCAGCCACCACCAGGAGTCTTCTTCCACTCATCCCAGGGTTTGCTCTCTGCAGCTTTCCTGCTCCCTACTGTTCACCCTGCAATTTGGGCTGCTCTTTCTTTTCAAATTCGGTGGTGCCTGCCGCATTCACTTCTAAGTTCTCAAATTCAAAGCAAATGAGGTTTTTGCTTGAAAAGGCATTCCCCAGAGAGCTAATATTTAGGGTAAGCAGTGATACTGGTTGGGCCAACTAAAATAAACCTTCTTAAACTTCTCAAACAAACAAAGCTCTTTGTATAATTACACAAACTGGAAAATTAGAGATCAGCATAAGAATCTGTAGCAATTAGTAGCTCTTACCTCACACAGGATGTGTTCCGGAAGGGCTGGACACAGCTACTGGTTGCCTAAATTGGAAAAAAAATTAACAAAATTACTTTTTAGAAGAAAAGTCAGAAATAAAGAAAAAATCATCTTCCTTTGAGAAGACGCATGGCAACACATTCTCCTTTGTATTTCTAACCCGAAGAGTCACCGGGAAACAGCCAAGATGGTCTTCATATTTCTCCAAATGTCTGTTTATCATATAACGTTAGCCCTGGCAGTCGATCCAGCTCCCTCATTATCAAGCTGTATTAGCTCAAACTCTCAGCATTGTTAGGGGGGTGAGCTCATGGCCTATTTCAGTTTTAAATGAACATTTGGCAATCACCCGGGTAATCAAAACAAATGATTCAGTCGTTTAGAATACATTTATTAGTTGAGACTTTTTTCCTTTCTCTTTTAACATCTTTAGAATATTTTGCCACAGGAGGGCTCTGATCCAGCCAGAGTATAGAGCACAAGTCACCAGAGGAATATTTAGGTGTTGTCATGGAGATGAAGTACCCTGTGACCACTGAAGTTATCTCCCACCAACAACAGGATTAGGATGCAGGCTAGATAGCAGGCTCTTCCCAATGAGAATGGTGCCCTGATCCTAGGAAACAGGTGTCCCCCGGCTGCTCTACCCATGATAGACATGCACAACACAATGTCCTCCTGGCATACAGGCAGCTGCCCCACCATCCCATAGGCATCCCCTGGTACCTTCTATCACTTGTAAAGGGAACCTGATAAATGACAACTCTCCCTGAGCAGGATCCTGTTTGGGTTTTGTTTATCTGAGAAAGGACCTCACTGTGTAATCCTTACTAGCCTCAATTTCAGGATCACCCTGCTTCCACCTCCCCCACTGTTGGCATCACAGGTATGTGTCACCACAATCGGCTGCCAACTGTTTTGTTCCCACACCCAGAACAGGCTCTCAGGAAGTTTCAATAGGACAAACATAAAGCAGGGATTGCAATCAGGCTTGAAATCCCTCCTATGCTACCACAACCACTTCCAGGCTGATTATCAAACAAGCAGTAAGTACAGATGTCATTTTTTGTGTGTGCCAGACAACAGCTGGTGCACTTAGTTCTATATGCTAATATAGACATTTATAGATCTATCTGTTTACGAGATCTTAATGATGACTGGCACAGTTAAGGACAACTATGAAGTCCAAATGGACACACTGTTAACTTAAAAGAACAGGGTTTTAGTTGGCCAAGTCAAAAGCAAGGTCAATCTGTCTCAGTGGTAAAGAACTAACATTCGAAGAGAGTTGTTTAGAAGTGAACTCAGGTCAGGTGGTGGTGGCGCACGCCTTTAATCCCAGCACTCGGGAGACAGAGGCAGGCAGATTCTGTGAGTTTGAGACCAGCCTGGTCTACAAAGTTGAGTTCCAGGAAAATCACAGCTGTTACACAGAGAAACCCTGTCTCAAAAACGAAACAAAACAAAAAACAACTCAGGGACTGCCCTTTACTCCTCTTCCCACCTACACAAAATATTGCATTATTTATTTCATGTTACATTTTTGTTTGTGCTAACGGACTTTGATATTTCATAATGGCAGGCACAAAAAAACCATTCTTTCTTATTTTTACCTAGGTTGTATAGCATGCATATACAAAAAAAAAAAGAATCTCATCCTTCACCCGCACTTGAAACTTGCTGTTTCTAGAAGGTACCACACCCTTTCATACAGCTGCTAAAGACTACAGCATGTCACAGCTGTTTACAGACAGGCTGCCAGATTCAGACATGCTGAGGTGAAACACTGGCTCTTCCTTCCATTAGCTGCCCAACCTCTCTGAACTTCCTAATAGTAAGCAGCCTCCCAAAGGCAAACAATCAAATGAGCATTACACACACACAGCTCTTCTTCACAGAACATTAGATACACAGCCGTCACTTCTTACATACAGCAGACAAGCAGCTAAAATTCTATCAACTGGGGGAACAATTTATTATGCTCCCACAAATACTTGATACCAAGTATATTCTTCTTTTAGATTCGGCCCAACTTTAATTTCAAACTTGAATTCCTCACACTCTAGTTTCAATATCCTATTTTATCTCACCCTTCCAGAACTGATTATTCCTGGAGACAGATGCAATTTATATGGGGTTCTACTCAAAAAGAATCTGGTTCTCCACTTAAAAGAGTCAAGTAGCTTCCCTCCTAAGATCTTGGCCTTACAAATGCCTTCTTGCTACCTATACAATTTCTTGCTGCGTAGGGAGGGGCTACCAGTTACACAATGCCGAAGACCTTCTATTAAACAGACCAGGACACTGGCTATCCATTTCAGAAGTCCTTGCATCTCATGTTCCCTGACACCCTCCAGAGGGCAGAAGAGAGAAAGACTCAGATTGAGGAAGCAAAAGCTCATATACTGGGGTTCCACTGAGCCCAATGGAGCTATCTTCCATATTTCAGTTTCTCCATCAGTAACAAAGAGAAAGATTACAGTGAGACTTGAACTTCACTTGCATTTTCACTTTCTTCTCTGCACTCGTTCCACTTAACATTAGTTGGGAGCCTGAGGATAAAGATACAGTAGGCATTATCGGTGTGCAGTTTTCAACATGTAGAATAGAACTATGGCTTTGAACAGACATAATGCAGACCGTGTCAACAATATTGTGCGAAACAAAGACTGAAAACTGAATGACAGTCAAGCCCTAGGAGCATCTGATGACAGCAAAGTAACCTTAAAACTGAAATACTTTAGGGTCAGTTATACTTTCAAATAAATCATGCCAATCTTACCCTATTCTGACAAACTTGTAAGTCAAACTAGAAATGCCATTTTGTTATTCTGGAATAAGCCAGACATTTCATCTTTGAGACATTTAAGACACTTCAGGTTTAATCAAAGCATTCTGCTCAGAGACAGCAATGACCCTATCATTACTTCCAGCCAAGCTGAAAGGATCCCCAAGTTGCTAATCAATTGAGTGAATTAAGTGAAAAACCAAAAACCAGAGACAACAGCTGTTTAAATGCACTTAAATGACCAGTTGAATCAATCAAAATGGATGATCTCCATGGGTTCATTGTTTCCTTTCAGTGGCTTTGGATGTGATTGTCATGGCAACCACCCCTTAATCATGTTCTTCAGGATACTTTCTTCCACCTAAAAAAAAAAATCGAGGATGGAATAAACTCTGAGTATTCCCTTAATTAGAAACATCTGTGACGGTAACCAATCGGCTCAGACTTCCCATTCGCCTTGTTACTATTCCCCTACTTGTATTAATATGCGAGTCTGAAGCACTAGCATATGCACCGTTCAAAACTTATTTTCAACATTACCATGAAATGCAATAATAAGTATAGCTGAAATGTCCGCTGGCTCCTTTCCTCTAGAAGAACCGACAACAATTTACTCAGAATGAATGGTTCAGATAATAGATGCCTTATTTTAATAATTTCAGCATAACACCTGCAACATAACTATTCAGTAAAATATTAATTAAATAAGTCATTTAAAGTATATTTTCAGTCATTTAAATGTAACACAGTCTAAGTTTTGTTAAATAAGGTTAGGTATAAAGTATATCTGATAATATACTCATGCTCAGGAAAAATCATTAATTACGTACAGGTTTCTACACTTACTTAGTTCTTTTAGAAATATGGAGCATGTCACAAATTTGCATACCATCATCATGGATGGCCATGCCAATCTTCTCTGTACAGTCTCAGTTTTACTGCGCATGGCATCTAACTGAGCATGTGTTTTAGTTTGGGGGTGTGAGAAGGTGTGCTCACTTGTTAGTGTGCACACGCAAGTTACTACTTGGTGCCTTCCTTAGTCACTCTCTGCTTTAAATCTTTGAGACAGAGTCTCTCACTGAACTCCGAGCTCACCAACTGGCTAGAGCGGCTAGCCTGCAAGACCCAAGGATCCTCCTGCCTCCATTCTCCATAGCACTGGGACTACAGGCAGGCAGCCTTACATAGAGTGTTTACATGGGCTCTGGAGATCCGAACTTGGGCCATCATACTAGTGTGGCAAGAACTTTATCCACTGAGCCATCTCCTCAATCCTTCTACACTTATTTTTCACAGGCTTCTTCACTATTTGGAGATAAGTGTCACTAGACGGTTTTGGGAAAGATCCGTTCTTTTCTTTAAAGGTATCTGTTGTATGGGCTACACATTTAAAGTTGCAATCATTCCACATTTTTCAGCAGATTCCATTTCATTCAAAAACTAAAACGTGCACAGATTTCCCACAGTTGGAGCAATGGGTCATTTGTAGGTTTTAAAGCCAGTTAAGAAGCTGTGCCTTTCCTCTAAAGCAAAGGTGGAAGAATGAGAAGTGCGCCTCGCCCTTCCTCACTCCAAGGCACTCTTGCCACGGCCACAGCTTCCACACAAGTTTCAGGGACCGTTGGCCAAAAGGAAGAAGAAAATGGATTTGTCCACTTTTTACTGAAATGTTAAAATATTAATAATATTTACAAATTCCAAGCACCATTTAAAATAGACTGGAGACCAGACCTATTAGGCACTAGGGGAAATGCCTACAGAAGCACAAGCAAACAGCGAACCCCAGCATGGGAAATGGAGCAACAAATATTTGCTACCAGTCAAAGGTAAGCCCTTGACGTTCTTGTCCTTTGCCCTGGTGTTCAATGATATTTGTGCTGTGCTTTAAAAATATGAAGATTGGTGTGCTTTCAATGACGATTACAGTGGATTCCAAATAAAACAAATGCTGAAATAAAAATTCACTTAATTGACCGAAAGGCTTGAATTAGTTATTGCCAAGTTTACAACTTTCCCATAACTCCAAGCATTCTTTCATATCAAAAAAAAACCAGCATTTTCCCCCTCTAACATGAGGAGTATGGGTAACTTTTCATGCAAGCATAATTTCTATTTTCATAGAACTCTCTGTAGACCACTCCCCAAACTCAAGCTAAATAAAAAGCATGAACGACAAGAGGACTGGATAGAGCCCAGTGACAATTTGGACAGCTGCATTGGAGCATTGGTCCTCCTCAAATTCAGAGACCAATT